GAGGAGGAGGAGGAGGAGGAGGAGGAGGAGGAGGAGGAGAAGAAGAAGAAGAAGAAGAAGAAGAAGAAGAAGAAGAAGAAGAAGAAGAAGAAGAAGAAGAAGAAGAAGAAGAAGAAGAAGAAGAAGATCTTGGGCACAGGGAAAGAAGAATCATTAGATTTAGAAGCGAGGGAGGAAGAAGAAGGAGGTCCCAAACCTGTTATCCAAGTGATGGTCTCCATCTTCAGGATTCCTGGGAAGGAGATGTTGTTGGTCTCCGTCGCTCTCTTCTTCCTTCCCCAGAGAGATGAAGAGCTGCAACTTCTCTCGAGGCAGTCCTCCAACTCAACGGCCAAGGGAGGAACTGCGTCATCCCCACCGAGGACATCACACCCACGCCCTCCCAGCCCAGGACGCAGCTCGGCCCCCCGGCCTCCTTCACCACACCAAAGCCTTTCTCTCTGCAGCAGAGAACTTCCCCCATCCTCCTGAGCTCTCTTGTGCCCAAAGAGGATGAAAAATAGAAGAAAACAAATGAAATCAAATAAAAATAGCCATCCGGGGAGGTGGAGGTGTGAAAGCCAAGAAGCCATGTTGTTCTGCTCTTTTGCAAGGTCTGACACCCCACCCCACCTCTCTGTGTGTCTGACCTGATCAGCTGCGTTGCTCGTCCTCAGCCACGCATTTCCCGTAGCGGAGCCACAGACAGACAGAATAAAGCAAATGATCATCCGTTAATTGGGAAAAAAAATTACTTCAGATACACTTCTGAAACACTTCTGAAAATCATTGCTTCTGTCTAAAACACCTGAAGGATTATCCTAATTATTTTTTTCAATTTGTAACATTTTATTAGATTATAAATAAAATGCAAAAATACAAAAACAAAGAGCAGGACACGGTGCATTTCCTCATAACTGCAAGCAAATTCCCCTCTTGGTTGAACGACGCATGTAGGATTCTCAAAGAGGCCCTTTGAACACGATCTGTGGGTTCACTGGAGGGTTCCAGAAGACCTTCTTCCCTGGGGGTGATCTCCATCCCATCCTTGTAGAAATGAAAGATCTTCTCTGCGTTGCCTCCTTCCACTGAGCAGAGGAAGACCAAAGGGTCACCTTCCTTCACCTTCTGGGACAACGGATCCACATTCAGCAGCGGGGAAGGAAGTTCATCTGCAAGAAATGTTCACAAGGAACATATTATTGTCTGTATTAAAGCAGGGGAGTCGTCACAACCAAAATATTCCATTTGGGAGATATTTTTCACATTGAAGGAAAGTCCCCCTGACCATTTTCTTAGAGGAAACATTATTTGTTTAATGGTGCCTTTGCTTGTTTGGTTCACTGGATTAATTTTTGAAAGCTTTATTGTGCGTTTTCATAGGTTGAGTATTAGAACTGCCTTTGATCTGAATATTACTGGGCAACGAGGATCCATCTTACCAACAACTGAGAAGACCAGCTGGTTACTTTCAGGAGAAGAAGACCATATCCAAGATGATTCCCAGATCTTGCATTTACATATAATCTTTATTTGGTAAGCGGTCAGATTTTCAGTCCTCACATTGAAGGTATTGTTAGGGAGAGAGTGATCTCCAACTGATTTGCCAGATTGATCATCACAGTAGAATAAGAATATATGGGATCCCTCTGGACTCTGTGACGCGACTCCCTCAGGGAGGGAGCAATTCAAGGGAATCTCTTCTCCTTTAATAATAAAGCTGTATGGAAGAGACGAGGACAGCCTGGGGGCTGATCGAGATGAATCTGTCTGTGAACCTGAGGAAAGAAAGAGAAGACATTGAGACTTTCCTTCTGAGCTCCTCCTGGAACAAAATCTCGAGACCAGAAGATCCACCCAATTTCCAGAATGGCTCCCATCCATAATTTACTCTGAGAATCCTTGACCCACTGCTTCCTCTTACAAGGACAGGAGTTGGACAAAAAGGGACCGACGCTGCAAATGAGAGGTTCTCCTACCGTTCATGGCTTGGATGAAGGTCCATCTGAGATTTCATCCCTCCCTAATCTTTTAGGACTGTCTTCCGTTCTGCTCTCTTTGCTTTGTAGACCACAGGTCCTCAACCTTTCCGGGTTGGTGGCCCAGAGGGAAAGGGAGGAGTAAGGAAATTTCTGTGTGCATGCGCAAAAGGGGCTGCTAGTGCCTTCACACATGTACAAATGGGGCCACCAGCGACTGCTAGCACAAGTGGGGGGAGGCGTGTGTGTGAATATGTGTAGACACCGGTGAGCTATTCTCATGGCCCAGTGGCCAGCAGGCTACGGACCAGTAGTGGTCTGCAACAAACAGGTTGGGGACCCCTGTTGTAGATAGACATCTCTCTATTTAATTGGCTCAGAGTCACCCAACCAGTTTTCATGGCTAAGACAGGACTAAAATTCATTGTCTCCCACTTTCCAGCCTGATATCTTAACCACTATCCACTAGTAGAGAAGGGGATGAGGTTCCTTTGTGCATTTATGTTTTTCTTTGGACATTATAGTATATTGTGTCAGGTGCAAAACCACACTTCACAGGTGAACGTCCAATTCAGTTGATTTATTGCTAAAAGCCTGTGCATAGGAATCTTGTCAGCTAGATGAGGGTTGGATAAGGGCCAATAGCACTCAAGGGAGATTGGGCTTAGTTTGCTTATGGCTACGTAGGGTTTCTAGGCTGATAAACTTTTTAACTCCCCCTCCAGATTCTGCCCTTCTTTCTCCTACTTCTCCTACTCTCTCTCCTTCACAAGAAGCAACAATCACAATCCATCTTTGTGTGGCCACAGAGAAACTACACAAGTATCGGTCTTACCTGCTCCCAGGTTCACCCACCAAAGAACTGAAAGAGAAAAGAAATGAAAGTGGCTTAAAAAGAACACTGACAAAAGACACACACACAAAACCTCAAGATCTCTGTGCAAAACTGGCAGTTTCCATTTCCGTAATGGGGCTTCCTGGAATGTAGATGAGAGAAGCCGAAGAAAAGAAAGAAAAGCAAAATGGAGGACTGAAGAGGAAAACCTCACACCATGAGATCTTGAATACGGGACTAAAACCCAGTCTATTTAGAGGGAAAAGAAGATTGGTTTTACATTTCATATAAACAGGACTCTTTTTAAAAGAAACATCCTGACTTCAGGATGGAAATAAAAAAATATCTTCATGACCTATAGATTAAATTCACATGAATTAAAGCAGTCTCTTTGAGCCAAAGATGCTTTTTTTCAGGAGGCAACTAGACTCTCCTGTTTTTCTTTGAAGACGTTTCGCTTCTCCTCCAAGAATGGTGCGAGAGGATGAATGGATTTCCAGAAAATATTGCAGACTACAGGAACCATTTGTGCTTCAGTTTCATGACCCAAACTAGGTAACATCATCACTGCATCAGGACTAGCACCGATGATGTTACCTTGTTTCGGTAATAAAACGCCTGCAAGAAAACCACCAAGCTCAGAGAGCAGCCAGGATCCCTCATTTCCATCCTGACCTACAGATATTCTCCTTTATAGATAGAATTCAGCTTGATATAACAGGAGGCTGTTAGTGGTGAAAGGAAACCAACCCCCCAAAGACACAATGGCTGGGAACCATCAAAGCTGACCAGCCAGAGCGTAGAACAACTCAAGGAAGCAGTGCAAGATCGGAAGAGGTGGAGAGACCTGGCCAACAGAATCACACAGAGTCAGACACAACCACATGCATATACATCTTGAACATCATTGTAAAAGAAAAACAAGAAAAACAAAATGGAGGACTGAGAGAGGAGAGACCTGGAGAACAGAATCACACAGAGCCAGACACGAACAAATGCATACTTCATGAGCATCACTGGAACAGAAAGCAACAGAAATTTGTCATCAAGATAAATTTCCTTGCTTGTAAAAGGGCTGCACTGCACAATACTTTCCTATGTGACATTTTGTGACTGGTAGCTACAAGGACATTGATCCATTCCAAACAATAACTCTGGAGGAAGAAGGAAGTGCTGAATTTTTGAGATAGAAGAAGAAGAAGGAGAAGAAGATGGTGATCTTGGGCACAGGGAAAGAAGAATAATTAGATTTAGAAACGAGGGAGGAAGAAGAAGGAAGTCCCAAACCTGTTATCCAAGTGATGGTCTCCATCTTCAGGATTCCTGGGAAGGAGGTGTTGTTGATCTCCGTCGCTCTCTTCTTCCTTCCCCAGAGAGATGAAGAGCTGCAACTTCTCTCGAGTCAGTCCTCCAACTCAACGGCCAAGGGAGGAACTGCATCATCCCCACCGAGGACATCACACCCACGCCCTCCCAGCCCAGGACGCAGCTCGGCCCCCCGGCCTCCTTCACCACATCAAAGCCTTTCTCTCTGCAGCAGAGAACTTCCCCCGTCCTCCTGAGCTCTCTTGTGCCCAAAGAGAATGAAAAATTGAATAAAACCAATGAAATCAAATAAAAATAGCCATCCGGTGAGGTGTAGGTGTGAAAGCCAAGAAGCCATGTTGTTCTGCTCTTTTGCAAGGTCTGACACCCCACCCCTCCTCTCTGTGTGTCTGACCTGATCAGCTGCGTTGCTCGTCCTCAGCCACGCATTTCCCGTAGCGGAGCCATAGACAGACAGAATAAAGCAAACGATCATCCGTTAATTAGAAAAAAAAATACTTTAATACAATTCTGAAACACTTCTGAAAATTGTTGCTTCTGTCTAAAACACCCGAAGGATTATCCTAATTATTTTTTCAATTTGTAAAATTTTATTAGATTATAAAGTAAAATGCAAAAATACAAAAACAAAGAGCAGGACACGGTGCATTTCTTCATAACTGCAAGCAAATTCCCCTCTGTGGTTGAACGACACATGTAGGATTCTCAAAGAGGCCCTTTGAACACGATCTGTGGGTTCACTGGAGGGTTCCAGAAGACCTTCTTCCCTGGGGGTGATCTCCATCCCATCCTTGGAGAAATGGAAGATCTTCTCTGTGTAGCCTCCTTCCACTGAGCAGAGGAAGATCAAAGGATCACCTTCCAAGAAAGTTATCTTATTTTCCTGCAATCAAGTTTATATACAATGGCCCCTCTTCTTCCTCTTCTGTAAGTTGCTTCTTCTGAGTGGAAAAGTCCTGAACATTGCTGTAGGTGGCCTCAGAGTCCTGGGGAAACTGAGGGAAAGAGAGCACATTGTTCAAACATTCAGTTTGCCTGCAGCTCAAAAACCATGAAGAACAAGGGATTTCTCCATCATTTTGCAGCATTTTTAGAAATAAATAAGGTTGATGGTCTTCTAGAAAGATTGCCAAGCCATCAAAGAAAAGAAGGGTTGACTTTCAGCATCAGGCCTGACCTAGTCTGGTTCTCTGATTCTGATGGTGATGAGATACTCCTGAGAAATCCGCAAGGACATTCCTCTAAAACCTTGCCTCCAACACTTGATTAGAGGAATCTTTGATGGCTTCTAAGATACTTAGTTTTCTTAAATATATCTTTCTCTTTGCATTTTTCTGCAAATTTCAAGGCCATTTAATTTTATGGCCAACACATAATTTGTTAAACAAAAAGCCATAAGGAGAATTATTCTTTCCTATTTTTAAAGAAATATCCAGGGGTACTAAAATGCCTAAATTCTTTGGTTGAAACCAAGTGAATGAAAAAACGGAGAATAGGTGTTGACAGAGATCAAAACAAATGGGATTATGGGAGGTAAATCCTGCTTGAATTTAAGATTTAAGTTCACTATCTACCAACATTGCACCAATATGCTTCAGGCCCTCTAAAGCCCTTGATATCATTCTTGTTTGTAGACAACCATAGTTGGGTAATTCCAGAGGACACTGTAAGTTTTTAGTGAGGATTCCATAAATCTTATATCATTCTCCAGTGTGATAGACCTTCCCTGTAGACCAGGGGGTCTTCAAACTTGGTCCTTTTATGACTTGTGGACTTCAACTTCCAGAATTCCTCAGCCAGGCATGCTGGATAATGAATTCTGGGAGTTGAAGTCCACAAGTCATAAAAAGGGCGATGTTTGAAAACCCCTGCTGTAGACACTAATTAAAGTCACCCATGAATTCCACCAGCTACCTTGACTGATGAGGGTGTTTCTGCTTGAGGCTCCATCACTGAAAGATGATTTTTCTCTTTCTTTTCCATTAGTTGAAATTGTTCCTGTGATTGAGATGCTTCCATGGCAGCAATAAAAAGGGAAAAAAACCATGAAGCTACTTTCCACCATCCTTACATATCATCTTCCCATCCCTCTCATTTCCAGTTCTGCTTTTCCTTTCCTGCTTCCCTGGATGATCTCTCAGTCAACATATCCAACTACAAGAGCAACCTCTGATAAGGGAACCCTCGAACTCAAATCCTTCACTTACTGCTCTTTTGCTTCCAGCAATAAAAGGCAATTGGAACCAGCAGAATTAGAAAAAGAATCCATCTCCGGGCATATCTCCAAACAGAATATAAACCTTGGGTCCAAACTGGTATGACTAGGAAAGAAGGAGGATGATTTAATGTTACTTGGCAGAATATTTTTACCCTGTCCTGTTCTTGAAAGTTTAGGTCCTATATCATCTAAAATTGAAATATTCACCTCTTATATTTGTCTCACTTCTAAACTTTTCATGGTCTTCTTCGTGGAATTAGCTTAGCAATCTCACAGAAGCCAATTGCCTTTCTTTAGATCTTTCTTTGGCCTTCCTAGTCTAGCCTATCAAGATGGTCTCAAGATTTAACCACATCCATCATTTCCCTAACTGGCTCACCTGTCATGTTTATCCCCTGGCTCCAAGAAGACATGAGCCATTGGTTGCTTCTCCTTTCTTCATAACTGCAAGCAAATTCCCCTCTGTGGTTGAACGAGGCATGTAGGATTCTCAAAGAGGCCCTTTGAACACGATCTGTGGGATCACTGGAGGGTTCCAGAAGACCTTCTTCCCTGGGGGTGATCTCCATCCCATCCTTGTAGAAATGGAAGATCTTCTCTGCGTTGCCTCCTTCCACTGCGCAGAGGAAGACGAAAGGGTCACCTTCCTTCACCTTCTGGGACAACGGATCCACCTTTAGCAGCGGGGAAGGAAGTTCACCTGTAAGAAAGGTTCATAAAGAACATATTAATGTCTCCATTAAAGCAGGGGAGTCATCACAACCAAAATATTCCATTTGGAAGATATTTTTCCCATTGAAGGAAAATCCTCCTGATCATTTTCTTAGGGGAGGCGTTATTTGTATAATGGTGCCTCTGCTTGTTTGGTTCACTGGATTAATTTTTGAAATCTTTATTGTGCATTTTCATAGGTTGAGTATTAGAAGTGCCTTTGAGGTGAATATTTCCGGGCAACTAGGATCCATCTTACCAACAACTGAGAAGACCAGCTGGTTATTTTCAGGAGAAGAAGACCATCCCCCAGATGATTCCCTGATCTTGCATTTACATATTATCTTTATTTGGAAAGGGGTCAGATATTCAGTACTGACATTGAAGGTATTGTAAGGGAGATGTCGAAATACAACTAATTTGCCAGATTGATCTTTACACTCGAATAAGTACTTATGAGATCCCTCAGGATTCTCTGACGCGACTCCCTCATGGAGGGAGCAATTCAAGGGAATCACTTCTCCTTTAATAATAAAGCTGTATGGAAGAGACGAGGACAGCCTGGGGGCTGATCGAGATGAATCTGTCTGTGAACCTGAGGAAAGAAAGAGAAGACATTGAGACTTTCCTTCTGAGCTCCTCCTGGAACCAAATCTCTAGACCAGAACATCCACCCTGATTCCCAGAATGGCTCCCATCCATAATCTGCTCTGAGAATCCTTGACCCACTTCTTCCTCTTGCAAGGACAGGAGTTGGACAAAAAGGGACCGACGCTGCAAATGAAAGCTTCTCCTACCTTTAATGGCTAGGATGAAGGTACATCTGAGATTTCATCCCTCCCTGATCTTTTAGGATTGTCTTCCTTTCTGCCCGCTTTGCTTTGTAGACCACAGGTCCCCACCCTTTCCGAGTTGGTGGACCAGAGGGAAAGGGTGGAGCAAGGAAATTTGTGAGTGATGTGCAAAAAGAGCTGCTAGTGCCTGCACGAATGTGCAAATGGGGCTACTAGCGGCTGTGCAGCGGCGCTAACACCCATGCACATATGTAAATGGGGCTGCCAGTGCCCATGTGACTGCTAGCACCAGTGGGGGGGGAGTGTGCTTGTACATGTGCAAACACCGGCCAGCTATCCTCACAGCCCGGTGGCCAGCAGGCTACAGACCAGTAGTGTGCTGCGGTTCACAGGTTAGGGACCCCTGTTGTAGACACCTCTCCATTTGATTGGCTCAAAGTCACTCAGCCAGTTTTCATGGACTAGAACTCATTGTCTCCCACTTTCTAGCCTGATACCTTAACCACTAGGCCAGACTGGCTCTCTGGCAATGGGACTTTGCCCACATCGAAGCAAAAAGAAGGTAAGAAAATGAGGGGATAACATTCCCTTTTGCATTTATGTTTTTCTTTGGGCGTTATAGTATTTTGTGTCAGGCGCAAAAGACTAGTCCACAGGTGAACGTCCAAATCAGTTCATTTATTGCTAAAAGCCTGTGGATAGGAATTTTGTCAGCTAGATAAGGGTTGGATAAGGGTCAATAGTACTCAAGGGAGATTGGGCTGAGTTTGCTTGTGGCTACATAGGGTTTCAAGGCTGATAACCTTTTTAACTCCCACTCCAGATTCTGCCCTTCCTTCTCCTACTTCTCATACTCTCTCTCCTTCACAAGAAGCAACAATCACAGTCTACCTTTGTGTGGTCACAGAAAAACTACACAAGTATCAATCTTACCTGCTCCCAGGTTCACCCACCAAAGAACTGGAAGAGAAAAGAAAGGAAAGTGGCTTAAACAGAACACAGATACACACACAGAGACAGAAACACACACAACGTCAAGATCTCTGTGAAAAACTGGCAGTTTCCATTTCCGTAATGGGACTTCCCAGAATGTAGATGAGAGAAGGCGAAGAAAAACAAGAAAAGCAAAATGGAGGACTGAAGAGGAAGACCTTACGCAGTGAGACCTTGAAAACGGGATTAAAAACCGGTATATTTTGAGGGAAAAGAAGATTGATTTTATATTTCATATAAACGGGACCCTTTTTAAAAGAAACATCCTGACTTCAGGATGGAGATAAAAAACTATCTTGATGACCCATCGATTAAATTCACGTAAATTAAATCGGTCTGTTTGAGCCAAAGGTGCTTTTTTTTTCAAGGAGGCAACTGGACTCTCTTGTTTTTCTTCGAAGGCGTTTCGCTTCTCCTCCAAGAATGGTGCGAGAGGATGATTTTCAGAAAATATTGCAGACTACAGGAACCATTTGTGCTTCAGTTTCATGACCCAAACTAGGTAACATCATCAGTGCATCAGGACTAGCGCCAATGATGTTACCTTGTTTCGGTAATGAAACGCCTGCAAGAAAACCACCAAGCTCAGAGAGCAGCCAGGATCCCTCGCTTCCATCCTGATCTGCAAATATTCTCCTTTATAGATAGAATTCAGCTTAATATAACAGGAGGCTGTTAGTGGTGAAAGGAAACCAGCCCCCCAAAGACACAATGGCTGGGAACCATCAAAACTGACCAGCCAGAGCGTAGAACAACACAAAGCAGCAGTGCAAGATCAGAAGAGGTGGAGAGATCTTGCCAACAGAATCACACAGAACCGGACACAACCACATGCATATACATCTTGAACATCATTGTAACATAAAGCGACAGAAGTTTGTCATCAAAATAAATTTCCTTCCTTGCAAAAGGGCTGCACTTCACAATACTTTCCTATGTGACATTTTGTGACTTCTACCTAGGAGGAGATTGATCCAAGCAATAACTCTGAAGGAAGAAGGAAGTGCTGAATTTTTGAGATGGAAGAAAAAGGAGGAGGAGGAGGAGGAGGAGGAGGAGGAGGAGGAGGAGGAGGAGGAGGAGGAGAAGAAGAAGAAGAAGAAGAAGAAGAAGAAGAAGAAAGAAGAAGAAGAAGAAGAAGAAGAAGAAGAAGAAGAAGAAGAAGAAGAAGAAGAAGAAGAAGAAGAAGAAGAAGAAGAAGAAGAAGAAGAAGAAACGAGGGAGGAAGAAGAAGGAGGTCCCAAACCTGTTATCCATGTGATGGTCTCCATCTTCAGGATTCCTGGGAAGGAGATGTTGTTGGTCTCCGTCGCTCTCTTCTTCCTTCCCCAGAGAGATGAAGAGCTGCAACTTCTCTAGAGTCAGTCCTCCAACTCAACGGCCAAGGGAGGAACTGCGTCATCCCCACCGAGGACATCACACCCACGCCCTCCCAGCCCAGGACGCAGCTCGGCCCCCCGGCCTCCTTCACCACACCAAAGCCTTTCTCTCTGCAGCAGAGAACTTCCCCCGTCCTCCTGAGCTCTCTTGTGCCCAAAGAGGATGAAAAATAGAAGAAAACAAATGAAATCAAATAAAAATAGCCATCCGGGGAGGTGGAGGTGTGAAAGCCAAGAAGCCATGTTGTTCTGCTCTTTTGCAAGGTCTGACTCCCCACCCCACCTCTCTGTGTGTCTGACCTGATCAGCTGCGTTGCTCGTCCTCAGCCACGCATTTCCCGTAGCGGAGCCACAGACAGACAGAATAAAGCAAATGAAAATCCGTTCATTAGAAAAAAAATAGTTCTGATACACAGCAGTTCCCCAAAAAAACTTTTGAAAATCGTGGCTTGTGTCTAAAACACAAGAATGATTATCCTAATTGTTTTTTCAATTTGTAACATTTTATTAGATTATAAAGTAAAATAGAAAAATACAAAAACCATGAGGAGGACACGGTGGGGAGGGACAAGGAAGAGAAAAGTAAGGGGGAGAAGGGAAAAAAGAAAAAAAGAAGCATTGACTTCCAATTTCCTCTATTGCCGTAGAATGAGGCATTAACAACGAACCTTCATTTTTTTACTTTTCCAAAGTGGGGTAAAGCCAACAGTCATAAGTGTGGAAAACAGTCATAGGTCACTCTCAACCACTTTTTTTGTGGTATGGTGACCAGAATTGGCTGCAGTATTCTAGGTGTGGTCTTGCTAGGGCTTGACAAAGCGGTAATAGGACTTCTCGTGATCTTGATTCTATGCCTCTGTTTATACCACCCAGGATTTAAGAGACTTGACCAACAAAAACACATTTTGCTGCAATCGGGGGGTGATTTTTCTGCCTTCCTTTGGGTTGAAACACAATGTCACTATACAATATCCCCTCTTCTTCCCGTTGTGTAGGACGGTTCTTCCTTGTTGGTCCAGGAGGAGACGGAGCGAAGGAGTCCCGGAGGCAGCTGTAGGTGACCTCAGAGGCCTGGGGAAAGTGAGGGAATGAGAAGACATTGCTCAGTCTGCCTGCAGGCGAGGAACCCATTGAGAACCTTGGATTTCTCCATCATTTGTCAGCGTTTTTAGAAATAAATAACCTTGACCCATCTGTTACGGTCTAGAAAGATTGCCAGCCCATCAAG